TTTCCGTGAGGAAGCTGAGGCTTAGAGGGGTTAAATGGTTTACTCAAGTAACACACAGCAGTGAGAGGACTGGGTGTTCTGACTCCCAAACCCACACGACTCGTCCCTTGGTGGCTGATACCTCTCAGGAGACTGAAGTGTTCAGTTTATTTCAAGAGCAGGTTTCTCTAGGTCAGCTCTTCTCTCCGCCTGATGGACGGGAACACAGGACTGAGGGTTTGCACCTGAGACCGAGAGTACCAGCACACTTTTCTTGACATTTTACTTGGCTAACCCGTTGCCCAAAGCCGAGCTTGAAACTGTGGCTGCTCTTGGGAGTATGTATGTATGTATGTATGTATGTATTTATTCATTCTGACAGGCAGAGTGGACAGTGAGAGAGAGAGACAGAGAGAAAGGTCTTCCTTTTGCCGTTTGTTCACCCTCCAATGGCCGCCGCGGCTGGCGCGCTGCGGCCGGCGCACCGCGCTGATCCGATGGCAGGAGCCAGGAGCCAGGTGCTTTTCCTGGTCTCCCATGGGGTGCAGGGCCCAAGCACCTGGGCCATCCTCCACTGCACTCCCGGGCCACAGCAGAGAGCTGGCCTGGAAGAGGGGCAACCGGGCGCCCTGACCGGGACTAGAACCCGGTGTGCCGGCGCCGCTAGGCAGAGGATTAGCCTATTGAGCCGCGGCACCGGCCTGTTTGTTTGTTTTTAACATTTATTTTATTTATTTGAAAGACAGAGTTACAGAGAGAGTTAGAGCTAGAGAGAGAGAGAGGTCTTCATCTGCTGGTTCACTCCCAAATGATTGCAGTGGCCAGAGCTGAACAGATCCGAAGCCAGGAGCCAGGAGCTTCTCCCAGGTCTCGTGCAGGGGCCCAAGGGCTTGGGCCATCTTCTACTGCTTTCCCAAGCCATAGCTGAGAGCTGGATTGGAAGAGGAGCAGCCAGGACTTGAACTGCGCCTATATGGGATGCCGGCACTGCAAGTTGGGGCTTTAACCCGCTTTGTCACAGCACTGGCCCCTGGGAGTTTGATATAACCTAGAGACAGTGCTGTTGTCTTCATTCTCTCCAATGCCATTATTTCAACACCAGTGGACGGTGTCCAGGGTGGATCCTGATTAACTGGCACATTTCTCAGCTGTTTGATATCAGGTTCTCTTGTATCTTTAGCCTCATGGCCATAGCCAAGAAACTTGTTTTTATTATGAGTATTTTTTTCAGATTTATTTATTTATTGGAAAGGCAGACTAACACAGAGAGAGAGAGAGAGAGATCTCCCATCGTCTGGTTCACTCCCTGAATGGCCACAACAACTGTGGCAGGACCAGGCCAAAGCTAAGAGCCAAGAACCCTATCCGGGTCTCACACATGGGTGGCAGGAGCCCCAGCACTTGGGCCGTCTTCTGCCGATTCCCAACCACGTTAAGCAGGGAGCTGGATCAGAAGTGGAGCAGTCGGGATTGCAACCAGGACTCCACTGTGAGATGCTGGTATTGCAAGCAGCAGTTTAACGTGCTGTGCCTCTATTCTAGCCCGTGTTCAGTTTTTTAAACTTGTTTGTGAGAGAAGTATGCAATACTAGTAAGTGCTTTGACTAAATCTTACCCTTATCTGAGAAACTGGTTAAGGGGGTTGCAAGTGCTATTGCTGGTTTTCTAGTACAGCCATTCGTGCCTTCTCCCAGAGGAAACCCAAGCTGTGGGCGCTGTGACCACAGCTCTGCTGCCAGTGCTGGCGGAGTGCGCCCACTCCTCGGCCTGGGGATCCACACCCTGACCTTGACGCGAAGTGTTTTCCGAGCTGTGACTCATCTTTTGGCCCATTCGTTCTTTCACCAGGAAGTGCACTGAATAATGATTTCAGGAATTTCAGTGACCTCTTCCAAAGAGTATGTTGCTGATTAAAGTTGCTAGGACTTCTGTCTGGTAAACAGCAGGACCCCACATTAGTCCACTGAATCCACATGTTCACAGAGGAGAAACCTGATGAGCTGTCTGGAGGGAGGCTGCTGAAGAAGCCAGCGTCGGTTCCGACAGCTGTCCGAGGGCCATCTCTTCCCCCAGAGGGGTAGGGAGGCAGGAGGTAGATGAGAGGCCGAGCAGAGCAGGTGGGGTGTGTGTGTGTGTGTGTGTGTGTGTAAATATCACATCTTTGTTTATAGTACACTGGACTCTGTTCATGCAAGGCCTGGTCAGGCCAAACCAGGAGGAATGTTTCCCGTGCTTAGAGCCAAGAATAACATCCTGACCAGCAGGGGGACAGAGGTCAGCCGAAGGCAGCAGCTCTTGGGAGCCACGGCATTAGGAATCTTGGAGGGACCGAGTTTATTAAAAATGGAGGCAAGATGTCCTTTGAAGGAAGTGTGTGAAACCCGCCTGCCCCCTCTCAGTAGGGCAGGGCTTGTTTGTGAGACACAGGAGGTCACCCGCACCATTGGATCTGTCACCCCCTGGCCCTTTGAATCATCTCCTCCAACCTATTCTTGATCTTTCTGTTCATTATTCTTATGAGTAACATTGGAGAAGCCCACCAGAGGGGTGGGTTTAGAAGATAGTATGTTAACTGAAACGCAGATCCCATTGGCTAGGCTTCCTGGGGAGCGTCCTGGCTGCAGCTTGTTCCTGAGCCCTGAGCCCGCGCCGTGCCCACCTCTGTTCTCTTCCCTTCCTCCCGTCCTCAGGCCCGTGCAGACTTGCTGCAGGAGCATTCCAAGTCTGTCCTGTTGTCTTTGGGACTCAGCTTCTCTGTTCTGGGGCCACAGCGACCGCCTGAAAGCTTTTCGGTTTCTCTGCCCGTCTCGTGCACCAGGCCTGAAGGGTTTAGCTGGGCGTCTCCTGTTCCAGTGGTGAAGTTAGGTCGCCTCTGTCGGAGGCCAGAAGGCTCAGGTCTGCTCTCAGGCCTCTGGTTTGTGAAGTGCCCGTGTCCCTTCCTGGAAACTGCGAGGTGGGACAGGCGTCAAGTTAGCAGGTGGCCGCAGCAGTATTAGCAAACTGGATCTTATTTGCAGAGTGAGACTTGTTGCTGGTCACCTCCTCCCCACCCCCCACCTCCGATTCTTGAGTTGGAAATTAGTGAAGAGAGAATTACCTTATACATGATAAATCAATCAGTCTTTTCCTTTAAAAGTAAATCTCACATTTGCATTTCTTATACTGATTAGCACAAGCTTAACAAATAGGTGTTTAGTAAATCTTAGTAATTCCACCTGAACCGTGGGCTGATTGGCGGTAGGGCTATGTTGAACATTCGGCATTCTCATCGTGATGGTCACTTCGTGGACAAGGACAGCTTCTGGATGGGAGGGGCAGCAGAGTTGTGTGGAAAGCTTTAGCCATGGAGAGTAGGCGCACAAAACAATCTCATTCTTTAGTTTATTTATTTGAGAGACAAAATCTCAGTTTAAATCATACTAAAGTGAAGATACAGCAGGGGTGGTTTGGCTAGAGCAGAACTTGATAGAATGAGTTAGAAATGGGGCTAAGGGCCGGCGCTGTGGCTCAATAAGCTAATCCTCCACCTTGTGGCGCCGGCACACCGGGTTCTAGTCCTGGTCGGGGCGCTGGATTCTGTCCCGGTTGCCCCTCTTCCAGGCCAGCTCTCTGCTGTGGCCAGGGAGTGCAGTGGAGGATGGCCCAGGTGCTTGGGCCCTGCACCCCATGGGAGACCAGGAGAAGTACCTGGCTCCTGCCATCGGATCAGCGCGATGGCGCCGGACGCAGCGCGCCGGCCGCGGCGGCCATTGGAGGGTGAACCAACGGCAAAAGGAAGACCTTTCTCTCTGTCTCTCTCTCACTGTCCACTCTGCCTGTTTAAAAAAAAAAAAAAAAAGAAAGAAAAGAAATGGGGCTAAGAATAGTTCTAGAAACTTGCCAGTTTGGGGTCACAGAGTGAAAGCAAAAAGTGTCCCCTCCCCTCCCACTTACTTTCTTTCTTTTTTTTAAATATTTATTTATTAACTTGACAGTCAGAGTTACACACAGAGAGAAAGAGAGGTAAAGGCACAGAGAGAGAGAGAGGTCTTCCATCCGCTGGTTCACTCTCCAATTGGCCACAATGGCCTGAGCTGCGCTGATCTGAAGCCAGGAGCCAGGAGATTCTTCCGGGTCTCCCATGGGGTGCAGGGCCCAAGGACTTGGGCCATCCTCCACTGCCTTCCTAGGCCACAGCAGAGAGCTGGATTGGAAGTGGAGCATCCGGGACTCGAACTAGCGCCCATATGGGATGCCAGCACTGCAGGCTGTGGCTTTACCCGCTATGCCACAGCGCTGGTCCCCTCCCACTTTCTTAGTCACCCTCCCCCAAGCCACTGCGTGGAGGGCCGTTGCTGCGTGTCTGTGCAGAGGGTGCAGCCTGCGGAGGTCTGTGGGGTCAGTCATCACAGAAGACAGGTGGCCCTTGGGTTTGTTAAGTTCTTGTATCCTGTGGGTTTTGCTGCCCTCAGGTCGTCCTGCTTACCCCAGAGCCAGAGTGGGTTCTGATTGTTTTGCTGTGTCCAGTCGACCTGTGGCTCCCGTGCAGCAGGCGGACTGTGCCCCACCTCCGCCCGCCATCACCTTCAGAAACGAAAGAGAAGAGTTGTGCTCCGTTTTGCTTGGGAGCGGTAGTTTGCGTTGCCTCTGGGAGTCCGCATCTCTCCTGTGCTTCCCTGGGGCGGCCAGGTCCTCTGAACCCCGCCCTGGGGCGGCCAGGTCCTCTGAACCCCGCCCTGGGCCGGCCAGGTCCTCTCTGGGGTGGCCAGGTCCTCTGAACCCCGCCCTGGGGCGGCCAGGTCCTCTCAACCCCGCCCTGGGCCGGCCAGGTCCTCTCTGAACCCCGCCCTGGCCTCGCTGAGTTGTGTTAGCTGCTTCTGGTTTCGGGCCCGTTTCTACCGTTAGCCTTCCCTGCTCCCTGTAGTGAAGTTTGGGTTTAGATTGGCTTTGGGGAAAGGATGAGTTTTTCCCTGCCTGTTTATAGGTTGGTCCCAAACATACGTTCTGTTCTTACTAATTTCCTTCCTTTCTTCTTCCAACAGGCCACCAAGCAGTTTCTTGAAGAGATCAACAAGTGGACAGTCCAGTACAATGTCTCCCCGCTCTCGTGGAACGTGGCTGTCAAGTTCCTCATGGCCAGGAAGTTTGATGTGCTCCGTGCCGTAGAGCTGTTCCACTGCTACAGAGTACGCTGCCCGGGGAGCACCAGCCGGGGCGGGGCGGGGCGGGGGCAGGGGGGGCCTCTGCGCGTTGCTCTCCTCCCTGCCGGGCTCCACGCATTGCTTCCCTGAGAGTTCCCCTCACTCCAGAAAGTGAATCAGTACCCAAGAGCCCTGTGAGAGCTAGGGGTGGGCAGAGATGGCGACGCCTGCGTTCCGCTCTCTGTGTCTGAGAGGCAGACTGGCAGAGAAGGAAGCAGGCTCCCATCGGCTGCAGTCAGTGCCAGGCCTGGGCTGGGCTAAAGCTAGGAGTTGGGAATTCAATCCTGGTCTCCCGTGTAGGAGGCTGGGACCCAGTCACTTGAGCCGCCACCTGCTGCCTCTCAGGGTCTGCATTAGCAGGAAGCTGGAGTCCGGAGTTGGAGCTGGTACTGAACCCAGGCGCCCTGATGGGCGTGGGTGTCTTAGCCGCCAGGCCAGACACGTTCCCCTGCGTCTGCCACGTGATGTTTGAAGCTGAGGATGGAGCCTCACGTCACCCTGGCCCACCCCTCCCGCTTTCCTCACTGGCCCCTGGTCACAGCCCCGTGTACTCCTCTGGTTTCCACAGTGCTGGGGTTTTTAGTGCCTCGCTCCGCAGAGGACTGCTGGCTTGGTGTGGATGGTTGAGCGGGGGAGCTGCAGTCCTGGGAAGGAGGAGCAGCTGTGTAGCGTGGTCTGTTGTCTTCACAGTGCCTTTGTGCAAGTGAGGCTGCAGCAGCGTCTTCCCGTTTTTGGTCTTTGTTCTGGCTTTTCCCTAAGGCATAGATTTTGGTTCAGTGCTTACGTTTGCCTTCCTAGTTGACAGTGTCCTCTAGGACACGTTGTATGGCAGGCTACTCAGGGACCAGAAGTCCTGAACAGATAAAAAAAATCTCCTGCAATTAAAAACAAAAGCAAAAAAACCCAAAGTCAGATTAGGGGAGGGGACAGACATTTGACGCAGAGGGTAAGGTGCTGCTTGGCGTGCCCGCGTGGCGTTCCAGCGTGCTTTTATTCAAGTCCCGGGTCCGCCTCAGTCCCAGCTTCTTGGTCATGCACACCCTGGGGAGCAGTAGCAGGTGGCTCAAGGACTTGAGTCCCTGACACCCAGGCAGGAGGCCCGAAATGTTCTCCTGACTTCAGGCTGGCCCAGCTCCAGCCCCAGCTGCTGTGGGCATTTGGAGAGCGAACCAGTAGATGTAAGATCAGTCTTTCTCTGTCTCTGTTCCCTGCCTTTCAAATAGAATGAAAATGCAAATGCAAAAACAAAAAATTAAAAACAAAAAGCCCTCTAAGTTGGGCTAATGAACACTGGGATTAGTCAAGGACTGCAGCTCACTCACGCTTAGTTTGCCAGTGTTTGCTCATTTGTTCCACAGATAATCATTGCATAAGCGCCATGTTCCAGGTGCAGAGATCACAGTTGGGAAAGAATCAGCAGCTACAGAGGTGCTGTGAACAGGCTGCCCTGGGTTCTGTGGAGGCACATTTAGTCACGAGGGTCTAGGGAGCCTTGTGAAGAGCATGGCTTGTTTATGTGTGTACGCGTGTTCGTGAGGGGCACAGAGAGAGAGCGCGCCATCCTCTGGTCTGCTCCTTAACGCTGCAGCAGGCAGGGCTGGAGCCAGGACTCAGTGCAGGTCTCCCATCAGGCCTCACCACTGCCTCCCAGAATGCACTTGGCAGGAAGCTGGGGTCCGGAGCTGGAGGCAGGTATGAATCCAGACGCCCTGATCTGGGATATGGGCTCCTTAACTGCTCGGCCCTCTAATGTGGACGTCAGGGCCAGCGGTGGTTCCCGCTGAAGTAGGTGTGTGGGTGTGTGTGTGGAGGGCATGAGCTCAGCCGGTGCTGTTAGGCTGGACGTGCCCTTGGGAGACCCTCACAGACCTGTGCTCTGTGCAGCTGCAGGGTGAGTCTAGGGTGGGCTGCACACAGGTGGACGTGACCACGGCAGAGCTGCCCACTGGGGCTTGGGAATGCACGAGGCCGTCTCAGAGGCCAGCCTCGCCTCAGACTCTGCCCTCTTTGTATTATTTTAACAGTGCACTCGGGTCCATTTGGTAGGTGTTTGCTGTCACACAGTCACATCACTAGCTGTCCTCACGGAGGCATTGCCCTGGAAGGCATTTGAGTGTGACTTTAGGGTTGGGGTAGAGAAGAATGTAAACAAAGAGCTAGCTCAGGCCCTGTCAGAAGATAGTTGCCCTACAAATATTTGCCAAATGAATGAATGAGTCGGCGAGAGAGTTTAATGGGCGAATGAGTGAGTTGAGGAAATATCCACAAAAGAGACTTACGAGGAGTAAAGAAATAGGAAACCCGGCCGGCGCCGCGGCTCACTAGGCTAATCCTCCGCCTGCGGCGCCGGCACACCGGGTTCTAGTCCCGGTCGGGGCTCCGGATTCTGTCCCGGTTGCCCCTCTTCCAGGCCAGCTCTCTGCTGTGGCCAGGGAGTGCAGTGGAGGATGGCCCAAGTGCTTGGGCCCTGCACCCCATGGGAGACCAGGAAAAGCACCTGGCTCCTGCGCCGGCCATCAGATCAGCGCGGTGCGCCAGCCGCAGCGCACCAGCCGCGGCGGCCATTGGAGGGTGAACCAACAGCAAAAGGAAGACCTTTCTCTCTGTCTCTCTCTCTCACTGTCCACTCTGCCTGTCAAAAAAAAAAAGAGAAAGAAATAGGAAACCCAAGAAAGTTTTGGGATTTTTTTTTTTTTAAGATTTATTTATTTACTTGAGAGGCATAGTTACAGACAGAGAGAGGGAGAGACAGAGAGAGAGATCTTCCATCTGCTGGTTCACTCCCCAAATGGCCTCCACGGCTGGAGCAGAGCTGATCTGAAGTCAGGAGCCAGGAGCTTCTTCCAGGTCTCCCACGTGGGTGCAGGGGCCCAGTGCTTGGGCCATCTGCTGCTTTCCCAGGCCATAGCAGAGAGCTGGATTGGAAAAGGAACAGCCGGGACAGGAACTGGCCCTCATAAGGGATGCCGGCGCCACAGGTGGATGGATGTTTAACTTACACCACAGTGCCAGCCCCCGGGCCTTTTTTTCAGTCATTGTTGTATACTAAGGTAGAGAATGTGTGTGGCCAAAGGAGCACTGGGCGGACTGGTGCCGCTTGTGATGCCAGATCCCGTATGGAGGGCCAGTTCAAGTCCTGGTGCTCCACGTCTGATCCAGTTCCTGCTAATGTGCCAGGAAAGAAAGTAGAAGGTGTCCTGAGTGCCTGGACCCCTGTCGCCCCTGTGGAAGCCAGGGTAGAGCTCTTGGGTCCTGGCTTTGGCATGGCTCAGCCTGGCTGTTGCAGCCATTTGGCAAGTGACCTAGCGGATGGCAAATCTCGCTCTGTCCTTCTCTTCTGTCACTTTGCCTTTCAAACAAATAAATAAATCTTTTTTAGAAAAAAATTAAGTGAAAGGACTGGGGTGGGCATTTGGCTGGTGTGTAAGACCCCCACATTCCCGTATAGGAACACTTGGGTTCATTGCCTGCTTCTAACTCCTGCCTTTAGCTTCCTGCTAATGCAGACCCTGGAAGTGATTGGGTTCCTGCCTCCCACGTGAGGGGCTTGGATTACACTCTGGGCTCTCGGCTTTGGTCCAGGACCAGCCTTAGCCGTTGTGAGCATCTGGAGCCTGAGCTAGTAGATAGGAGCTCTCTCCCTTTCTGTCTTTCTCTTTGTCTCTCAAATAAATGAATGCATTTTAAAAAATATTTATTTATTTGAAAGTCAGAATTACAGAGACAGTGGGGGGTGGGAAGAGATCTTCCATCCGCTGGTTCACTCCCCAGATGGGTGCAACAGCCAGGGGTGGGCCAGGCCAAAGCCAAGAGCTTCATCTGGGTGTCTCATGTGGGTGCAGGGGCCCAAGCACTTGGGCCATCCTCTGCTGCTTTCCCAGGCACACTCTCAGGGAGCTGGATGGGAAGTAGAGCAGCCAGGACTTGACCCAGCGCCTGTATGGGATGTCAGCACTGCAGACAGTGACTTAACTTGCCGTACCACAGTCCTGGCTCCAATAAATGAGCCCACTGGGTTCAGTGACTTGAAGATTCTGGTCACTGTTGTGGAAGCTGTCAGTGGAGTCGTTAGTAGAAAACAAGAATGCAGTGGACTAAGTATGAGTGAGGTGGGACTGAGCTTAGAGAACCTGCCCATTGGGGTTGGTGTTGTGGTGCAGCGGTTAGGCCACTGCCTGTAATGCAGGCATCCCATATGGGCGCTGGTTCAAATCCTGGCTGTTCCACTTCTGATCCAGCTCCCTGCTAATTGCCTGGAAAAGCAGCAGAAGATGGTCCAAGTCCTTGGGCCCCTGTTACCCATGTGAGAGACCTGGATGAAGCTCCTTGGAGACTCCTAGCTTTGGCCTGGCCCAGCCCCAGCCATGGCGACCATTTGAGAGTGAACAGGTAGATGGAAGATTCCCCACACTCACCACCCCACTCACTCTCTGTAACTGTCTTTCAAGTAAATAAATAAATCTTAATAAAATAAAAGAGCCTGGCCATTGTGGTGAGGAAAGATGAAGGTGTGTAGCGTTGTTGGAGAGACTTTTAGAATTCTCTACTGACAGAGAGGCCTAAGCCTGGAGGACATACGCTTCGAAACAGGTTTTGGGTCCATATTTCCATATCAGTGCTGTTGCATGTTTAAGAACTTTGCTCCTACACCCTAATATTTTATGGGGGTACTTCAAAAAGTATAGAAAATAGAATTATTTTGATACAAAACCAAGCATAGTTTTTTCATAAAATACTCTTTCCACAGACTTTTTTTATTTATTTGAGAGGCACAGTGACAGAGAGGGAGAGACAGGTATATCTTCCATCTGTTGGTTTACTCCCCAAATGGCCCCAGTAGCCAGGTCAGGGCCAGGCTGAAGTGAGCAGGCAGGAACTCCGTCCGGGTCTGCCGTACGGGTAGTGGGGACCTACTTGGACCATCTTCCAGTGCCTTCCCAGGCACAGTAGTAGGAAGCTGTATTGGAAGTACAGCAGCCAGGACTCAAATCCGCACTCTGATATGGGGTGCCTGTCCCTTTCCACAAACTTTTTGAAGATCTCTTTTATGCATGGATTTCCAGTGTTTTGGACTAAAGTAAACTTACCTTTTACTTCCATTTTCAACAAGCCTTTTTTTTTTTAAATATTTATTTTATTTGAAAGGCAGGATGACAGAGAGAGAGAGAAAGAGACAAATGGCTGCCTTGGCCAGGGCTGGGCCAGGCTGAAGCCAGGAGGCAGGAGCTCCACCAGCTCTCTCGTGTGGGTGGTCGGGCCCAAGTACTTAAGCCACCACCTGCTGATTCCCAGGTCCTGCGTTAGCAGGAAGCTGGAATTGGGAGTAGAGCCGGGGCTGTAACCCAGGCACTTCCATATAAGGATGGGGATGTCCCAGCTGGCATCTTTTTTTTTTTTTTTTTAACATTAATTTTATTTTATTTGAAAGACAATTACAGAGAGAGGTAGAGACAGAGAGGGAGGTCTTCCATCCACTGGTTCACTCCCCAGATGGCTGCAATGGCCAGAGCTGAGCCAATCCGAAGCCAGGAGCCAGGAGCTTCTTCCAGGTCTCCCATGTGGGTGCAGGGGCCCAAGGACTTGGACCATTTTCTACTGCTTTCCCAGGCTACAGCAGAGAGCTGGATGGGAAGAGGAGCAGCCGGGACTAGAACTGGTGCCCATATGGGATGCTGGTGCTTCAGGTCAGGGCTTTAACCTGCTGCACCACAGCGCTGGCCCCGCAGCTGGCATCTTAACTGCCAGGCCGAATACCTGCCCCTTATAAATTTATTTATTTGTGAGAGAGTTCTTGTCTACTGTTTCACTTTACAAATGGTGCCATGACTGAGGCCCCAAGTTCAGGGGCTTGGAAGTCAACAGAGGTCTTCCAAGTGAGTGACAGGAACTCCACTGCTGGAGCCATCACCACTGCTGGAGCCATCACCACTGCCTCCCGGCCCACAGTAACAGTAGGCTGTAACCGGAGCACATCTGGGTGTGGGGGCCGGCGCTGTGCTGTAGCAGGTTAAAGCCCCAGCCTGCAGTGCCAGCATCGCATGTTGGCACCAGTTCCAGTCCCGGCTGCTCCTCTTCCCATCCAGCTCTCTGCTGTGGCCTGGGAAAGCAGTGGAGGATGGCCCAAGTCCTTGGGCCCCTGCACCCACGTGGGAGACCTGGAAGAAGCTCCTGGCTCCTGGCTTTAGATCGGCGCAGCTCTGGCCGTTGTGGCCATCTGGAGGGTGAACCAGTAGATGGAAGGCCTCTTTCTCTCTCTGTCTCTCTCTCTGTCTCTGTCTCTGTCTCTGTCTCTCTCTGTAATTCTGTCTTTCAAATAAATAAAAATAAATCTTAAAATAAATCTGGATGTGGAACTTAGGCAGTCTCAATGTGGGATGTGGTGACTTTCTCTCTCTCTCTCTCTCTTTTTTTTTTTTTTTTTTTTTGAGAGGTGGAGTTACAGACAGAGAGAGGGAGAGACAGAAGAAAAGATCTCCCATCCACTGGTTCACTCTCACAAATGGCCACAATGGCTGGAGCTGAGCTGATTCAAAGCCAAGAGCCAGGAGCTTCTTCTAGGTCTCCCACTAAGGTGCAGGGGCCCAAGGACTTGGGCCATCTTCCACTGCTTTCCCAGGCCACAGCAGAGAGCTGGATTGGAAGAGGAGCAGCCGGGACTTGAACCAGCGCTCGTATAGGAGGCCTGCACTGCAGGCGGAGGGTTAGCCTGCTACACCATAGCACCAGCCCCCTGGATGCAGATGTCTTAACCTTTAGGCCAGATGCCCATCTCCAGACTTTTTGAAGTGCTTTGTATATTGATTGATCTTCAGGATTAGAATATTTTTTTTAGTTAAGATTTATTTATTTATTTATTTGAAAGTCAGAGTTATAGAGAGAGGAGAGACAGAGGTCTTCTATTCACTGGATCATTCCCCAAATGGCAGCAACGGCTGGAGCCGGGCCTGTCTGAAGCTGGAAGCCAGGAGCCAGGAACTTCTTCCAGGTCTCCCATGTGGGTACAGGGGCCCAAGCACTTGGGCCATATTCCCAGGCCCTCTGGATTTTTTTTTTTTTTTTTTTTTTTTTTTTTTGACAGGCAGAGTGGATAGTGAGAGAGAGAGACAGAGAGAAAGGTCTTCCTTTGCCGTTGGTTCACTCTCCAATGGCCGCCGCAGCCGGCGCACAGCACTGATCCGAAGCCAGGAGCCAGGTGCTTCTCCTGGTCTCCCGTGGGGTGCAGGGCCCAAACACTTGGGCCATCCTCCACTGCACTCCCTGGCCACAGCAGAGAGCTGGCCTGGAAGAGGGGCAACCGGGACAGAATCCGGCGCCCCAACTGGGACTAGAACCCGGTGTGCCGGCGCTGCAAGGTGGAGGATTAGCCTAGTGAGCCGCGGCGCTGGCCAAGGGAGCTGGATCAGAAGCAGAGCAGCTGGGGCTCGAATCGGTGCCCATATGGGATGCTGGCTCTGCAGGTGGCAGCTTAACCCACTCTGCCACAGCACTGGCCCAGATTTAGAATTCTTACTGCTTCAAAGAAAATACTGCAGCCAAAGGAACTCCTCAGGTCACCTTGGGAGGAATTCTGCTAGCTGTAGCCCTCGGGAAGGAAGCCGCGCAGGGCTCCTCAGTTCAGGTAGCTGATGCCTCCGTGTGTGGGAGGAGCAGTGGTTGGGTGGGGCCGTGTGCATGCGCAGTGTCTCCACGCTCATCTTGCTGTACTTCCTTTGCAGGAAACACGACGGAAGGAAGGTATTGTGAAGCTGAAACCTCACGAGGAGCCCCTCCGTTCCGAAATCCTCAGCGGGAAGTTCACCATCTTGGTGGGTCTCCATGTACCTCTTGGAGCTGTGCCTGAGCAGGACCTTGTTCTCAGACCTTGGCTCTGGAGTCTCCACTGTCAGGGGCAAGCGTGAAGCACCGTGCATTTGGGCACAAAGTGACTCTAGCTGCCACTGACTTGAGATTACTAGTAATAACTGAAGCTCGGAGACTCGGAGGGGCTTCTTCGTTGGTCCATTCAGGCCTTTGGAGTTGGTGTCCGGTGTGTCCGAGACTCCTGCTTCGTGCAGGTGCTCCGCTTGGGCCTTCTGGCCAAGTGTAGGGTGCATTTTTTTAAGGCAGAGGGTGGAAGCCATGGTTCTGTCCTGTGGTTCTCTTCTGCTGGTTTTTCCTGCCATTCTGCCTGGGGTATCAGCTAGGCACCCGGGGCGGAATCATCCTTCAATCTCTAGCATTGAAGAGCAAAGAGAATTCTTTCCCACCACATGAGTGTGGACCAGGAGGGGTGCTGCAGGGTGAGGCATGGGGTGATCCTAACAGCCCTCCTTTCGGGAGCGATTGGTGCAGTCGGGGAAGCGTGGCCAGCGAGTGTGCTCTTCCTCAGCCCAGGTTGCTGAGGCAGGACGCCTTCGTGGCTGCCGTGGCCTGCTGTCCGGTTTCTGCATGTGACTGTTTTATGTCCTAGGACGTCCGGGACCCGACGGGAGCCTCCATCGCCCTGTTCACTGCCAGGCTGCATCACCCCCACAAGTCGGTCCAGCACGTGGTACTTCAGGCCCTGTTCTATCTGCTGGACAGAGCTGTGGATAGGTAAGCACGGGGGTGATCTTGGGTAGTTTGCCTTCAGATAGAAAAGTGACGTTCACTGACTCGTTCAGACTCAGTGGTGTCTTGTATGAAATAATCCACAGGGCTGGCGTCGCGGTGCAGCAGGTTAAGCTGCCGCCTGTGATCCTATATCCAGTACAGGGGCTGGTTGCTCCGCTTCCAGTCCAACTCCCTGCTGATGACCTGGGAAAGCCAGCAGAAGATAATCCAGGTGCTTGGGCCCCTGCCACCCATCTGGGAGACCCAGAAGGAGCTCCTGGCTCCTGGCTTCAGCCTGGCTTAGCCCTGGCCATTGTGGCCATTTGGGGAATGAACTGGAGGATGGAAGATCTCTGTGTCTCTCCCTGTCTCTCTAACTCTGCTTTCCAAATAAATAAATCTAAAAGGCAGAGTTACAGAGAGGCAGAGAGAGAGAGAGAGAGAGAGAGAGAAAGAGAGAGGTCTTCCATCTACTGGTTCACTCTCCAAATAGCTACAACAGCCAGAGCTGCACCAGTCCAAAGCCAGGAGCTTCTTCCGGGTCTCCCACACGGGTGCAGAGGCCCAAGGACTTGAGCCATCTTCTACTGCTTTCCCAGGTTATAACAGAGAGCTGGATCAGAAGTAGAGCAGCCAGGACTTGAACTGGCGCCCATATGGGATGCCAGCACTGTAGGCAGCAGCTTTACCCACTGCGCCACAGCACTGGCAATAAATCTTTTTTTAAAAAAACAATAGGAGAATGGGCTGGCCTTGTGGTACAAAGAGCAAAGCTGCTGCCTGTGATGCCGGCATCCCTTGTGGATTCCAGTCCTGGCTGCTCCACTTCTGATCCAGCTTCCTGCTAATGTTCTGGGAAAGCAGTGGAGGACGGCCCAAGTGCTTGGGCCCCTGCCACCCCCCTGGGAGACCTGGAAGAAGCTCCTGGCTCCTGGCTTCAGCCTAGCTCAGCCCTGTTTATTGTGGCCATTTGGGGAGTGAACTAGTGATGGAAGATTCTCTCTCTGTGTCCCCTTAGCTCTGATTTTCAAATAAATAAATAAATCCTTTTTTTTTTTTTTTTAAAAAAAGAAGAAGAAGTAGCCCATGTCCTCAGGGGCCTGGCGTGTTTCTTGGCGCCTTCATGGTGGTGGGTTTTCTGTCTTTACCACTGTGGCTGTATTTCAGGGTAACGAAACCTGAGAGTGCCAACTATTAGCAGTTGCTAATGTATCAAGAATTAATGACCGGAAGAGAGTGAGGAGGAGGTGACCTGTGCAGGTTGTTTTTGCTCATATTAAAACCCTCCAAGGCTTTAGTCTCTGTCTGTAAGATAGAAATGATGCCATTCAGCTCAAAGGATGTTGAGAGTTAGTATTCGGGGGAGAGAGTCCAAAAGTATGAAGCGAAGCACAAGTCGGCTTTGGACTGAAGGTGCATAAGTGAAGAGAGCCAGCTCAGGTCATCTCCCTCCCCTCCAAGGCGGGTGGTATTCCCAGTCCTGTAGACAAGGAGGCTGAAGCCCCGAGAAGTTAGGTGATCACCTGCTCTGTCCTGTTCCTTCCCTCCTGGGCAGAGCTGTTTGTGCCCTGTTAGACTGTCTCTCTGTCATACTGGTCTTGATGGTTCCCATCTAGTTTGCTGGTGCTCTCAGCATGCTTGGCTGGTCCTGTGGGTTCCGAGTGTTACAGGGCGGAGACCCTGAGACCTGAGATAGTGGGAGGCTGCTACACACGGCGTCAGTCAGGCTGTGGGCCTCGTGCTGGAGCAACTGGAGTTCTGAGGTGGGGCTCTGTGTAGTTCACTGCCGGGGCGCTTAGCTTCTGCTCTTGGTGCTCAGTGGGAGAAAGATCCACCCCTCTCTGAGAAGGAGCACCTGCCAGGGCGAGAGGACCAGTGGAGTCAGAGGCCCGAAATCCCCAGGCAGAGTGAGATCCTCAGCCCTCCCTGTGGCTGCTCTCCACGCATGACTTCCAGAACAGGGGTTCTTCTGAATGCTCATTTCCCGGCAAGTCCAGGCTCAGGGAGTCGGGGCCCCGCATAGGCGCCACGGGAGGCAGGGCCGTGGCCGAATCTCGCTCCTTCCAGTGTGAGTATCAGGTCCCAGAGGAGGGCCACACGGTGAGCTCAGTGATAACTTGGACGGTCCCCAGCGCCTCCTTCAAGACCCCGGTGACACTCCGTCCTCAGGGTGCCTACAAGCCTAGTAGAGGCCACTGTTTATTCCAGGGATAGGGAATTCTGGTTTCCTGTGCTGTCTTGGCCCAGAACATCTTCCTTCTCCCCTCTTCGTGGCTGAATGCTGCCCTTGTCTCAGGCCCAGTTTCTGTGACTGGTTCCCTCCCTGCTCCAACCTGTAATAATTAAAATTGTGTTTACTCTGCCTTTATTAGCAGGTGTGTTAGTTCATTTTCTGTCGCTAATTACACAATACCACAGGCTGTGTTTAATAAAAGAAATTTATTTAGGCTCACAGATCTTGCGGTCAAGGTTGAGAGGCCAGGCTGCATTTGATGGAGACCTTCTTGCTGGCAGAGCTCTGGTGATGACATCACAGCGATGACATCACAGCGATGACATCACAGGGCAAGACGCAGGGAGCATTGTCTCCTCTGGTCTCTCCCTTCTTATAAAGCCCCAGGATTCACCTATGGGGATTCCACCCCACAACCTTAGCTGACCCTTGTCACCTCCCCAGTCCCCATCTCCAGAGCCGAGTCGCCGTCGTTCCTGCACCTCACAGTGGGGACTGAACTCCCATGTGGGCTTCAAAGGGGACAACCATACTCAAACCACAGCAGCAGATGTTACCCCTACAGCACTGTGCACCGCGTTACACATCGCCCCGGGCTGTCCTTTGTCCCGCACTGTGTCCAGCTTTTTCATCTCGCGCTAGAACGTGAGTGCCGTGGGGCCAGGAAGTCCTTTGTAACGTCTGCCACAGAAGGTGTCTCTGCACGTGGAGAGGAACGTCGCCATACGCATCCAGGTGCCCCTCGTCCTCTTCAGAGCTACCAACCCAGTCTCGTTTCACTGCTTGCCCAGTGAGCACCTCCTACCCTTGGTTGTTTTGAAACAAACATCTTGGTGCTGCCCCGAATGTGAAAACGCGGCAGGCAGCAGTCGACCGTCTGTAAACGCCCCCTTCTGCGCCCGGGACCCGTGAGCATTGCACTGTGCTCTCCCTGAGCTCCTGGGTGAGCACCTCCCCCCAGGACACACAGCCAAGACCTTGATGTGCCGGGGCTGCTTTCTGGTACACTTCCGTTAAACCCTGCTGCAGGCTGCAGCCGTGAGGGGAAAACCGTGGCACTGTGACCTTGGCCCTGGGAGCGTATGGAGAAATGGAGTTTCCGGACCTGGGTAGTCTACACAATAACTACCACATTATCTTTTCTGACACTTGAAAGATTTTATGTATGTTGATTTATTTGAGTGAGAGACAGTACTCACATGCTCCCCTCTGCTGGTCACTCAAACGCTTGCCATAGCCAGGAGCAGGGAATTCCACTCAGGTCTCCTGTGCTGCTGACAGGGACCCAACCTGCTGCTTCCAAGACAGCAGGAAGGTGGAGTCAGGAGTGGGTCTAGAACTTGAAGCACGGGATGCAGGTGTCCCACGTGGCCAGGCGCTCCCCCATGCCACACGGTTAGCAGTGGCTTTGATCCTGGTGGATCATGGGCTGACTGGGCTTGCGAGCAAGAGTCAAGATTTAGCACTCATGTAAGCATTATGTGCCACTTGAAACTAATTTGCAGAAAACTTGAACCTGCCTCAGAGTTGAGATTTTGAAATATACCTCCCGAGTGGGTGCGTCTGCCTTGGAATCTGTTACAATGAGGGAGATGTGGAGGCTTCCAAGAGGAGTGCACAGTCAGGTTAGGGATTGCATTGAGACTCCTCTTTGCATTTCAGGATGTGTTCTGCGTCACACTCTTCTCTCAGTCCTAGATGTGCAGGAGCACTGTTACTGTCTGTGAGTAGTGCAGTCCCAGAACTCAGTCTAATGGCGTTGGGGTGTGCGTGGCTCTGCACACAAGGATCTGGGTTGGTGGGGATCCAACTTCTAGATGTCTTTGTGATGCAAGAGGGTTAGATTGAAGGACCTCTTTGTGTCTTCACGTGTTCTTAGCTCAGCCTGGGAGTAAGCGCAGTGTCTCTTAATCTGATCTTTGAGATGTTTTCCAAAGACCATTTGTGGGTTTATTCTCTTTTTCCATTGAGTCACAAGAGATAAGTTCACCGTCAGTGAGCTTAGAGGAAGTTCTGTTTTGTACTGTTTCCCATGGGTCTAGAATATTTTCCTGGTGAGGGGCTTCCTGTCTGTTGACCTTTAATTTTCAAGGGCTGTGCTAGGAACTGCTGGGGGTATTGCCCCCTTGGAGAGAACCACATGGCTGCACCAGGCAGGATCATCTTAGGGCCAGAACAAGTCACAGGAAGGTTGGCGGGAGGGCGGTGAGGCATGTGGAGTACATTTGACTGCAGGTACCATGCAGCCATGGAAGAGGGAACTTTTATTTATTTATTTGAAAGGCAGAGTTACAGAGAGAGGGAGAGAGGTGGGGAAGAAGGTAGAGTAAGAGGGCATGTTTCCATCCGCTGGTTCACTCCCCAAATGGCCACGGCCAGCTGAGGTTGGGCCTGCCGAAACCAGGAGCTTGGAACGTGGTGGCTGGATCCCAAGTCCTTGGTCCCCTGCTGCTTTTCCAGGCGTATTAGCAGGGAGCCAGATTGGTAGTGGAGCAGAGGTCGTATGGGAGGCTGGCGCTGTAGGCAGCGGCGTAACCTGCTGCGCCACAGTGCCAGCCCAGTAGAGGGGCCTTTTAGAGTGTTAGGATTTGGACAGGCACACTTGGGTGGCGGGGAAATAGTTGGAAGACTGGTGGCTTTTCTCTGGAGCATTCTCTCTCCAGGAGTCTGGCAGCTGGGGACTCTGGATGAGACAGCGGAGGTCAACCATGTAAGAGCGCCGTGCAGGCAGCAGGCGTTTGGATCCCAGATGTGTCCCCTGTGCTGTCTGTTCTGCCTTGTGCCTTCATCCTGCCCCGTCCATTTTACTGCTTGTAAATGTTTGTGCTCATTGCTTGCTTTACAGCTTTGAAACGCAGAGGAATGGGCTGGTGTTTATCTACGACATGTGTGGCTCCAATTATGCCAACTTTGAGCTGGATCTTGGCAAGAAAGTCCTAAACCTGCTGAAGGTAAGGCTGCGGGAGGGCCTCCTCCACCTCCGCCAGCGATTGGGTTTTTAAGATTTTGCGGTGGGGGGAGATTGAGGAATGGACTAACATGCAGACATTATGCTCCATTTAAAGGTCACCTGTGAATGATAACTAATGCCTGCTTCTTCAGAACAAGACATGGTCTTTTTTTTTTGGACAGGCAGAGTGGACAGTGAGAGAGAGAGAGAGAGAGAGAGAAAGGTCTTCCTTTTGCCATTGGTTCACCCTCCAATGGCCACCGCGGCTGGCACACTGCAGCCAGCGCATCGCGCTGATCCGAAGCCAGGAGCCAGGTGCTTCTCCTGGTCTCCCATGGGGTGCAGGGCCCAAGTATTTGGGCCATCCTCCACTGCACTCCCTGGCCACATCAGGGAGCTGGCCTGGAAGAGGGGCAACCGGGACAGAATCCGGCGCCCTGACCGGGACTAGAACCCGGTGTGCCGGCGCCACAAGGCGGAGGATTAGCCTAGTGAGCCGCGGCGCCGGCCAAGAAATGGTCTTAAATGAAGTGGAATGAGCTTACCTAAAGAAAGCACAGACCATCCTGAGGCTTGGTGAGCCCAAGAATGGCACCACCTAGCCAGTGATTTTATAGACATTTTTTGTCTCAGTCTAGCCTGGAATATGTTGTAAATTTCAGATTAGTCCCTGAAGCTGCGCATTAACTGTCTGTATATTCACATGGAGTTACGCACAGAGGGCTGCACACACAGATGACAGCATCAGAACCCCCTATCCCAGACGCCTGGGTGCAGAGGGTTGTTTCTGGTTTTGTTTTTTTTTTATTCTTTGAACTTTTTTTTAATCTTGATTTTTATTTACTTGAAAGGCAGAATGATAGGAGGGGGAAGAGACATGTTTCCTATCTTCTGGTCTGTTCCCCAAATGCCCTGGAGTTGTGCCAGGTTGAAGCCAGGAGTCTGGAACTCCACTGGGTCCCCCACATTGGCTCACGGTCTACTGCCTCCCGGGATGCATTAGCAGGAGACTGGATCAGAAAATCGTAGCTGGGACTTAAACCAGCACTCCGGTGAGATGTCGGCGTCCCAAGCAGCAGCTCAGTCTGTGCCGCACACCTTCCCCTCTCGGTGAACTTTGAGAGGTAACATAGGGACGGGCATTTAGCCTCGTGGTTAGGATACCTGTGTCCCATATCAGAGCCTCGTGGTTAGGATACCTATGTCCCATATCCAGAGCCTTGTGGTTAGGATACTGCGTCCCATATCAGAGCCTCGTGGTTAGGATACCTGTGTCCCATATCAGAGCCTCGTGGTTAGGATACCTATGTCCCATATCAGAGCCTCGTGGTTAGGATACCTGTGTCCCGTATCAGAGCCTCGTGGTTAGGATACCTATGTCCCATATCCAGAGCCTCGTGGTTAGGATACTGCGTCCCATATCAGAGCCTCGTGGTTAGGATACCTGTGTCCCATATCAGAGCCTCGTGGTTAGGATACCTGTGTCCCATATCAGAGCCTCATGGTTAGGACGCCTGCGTCCCGTATCAGAGAGCCCGGGTTTCCCACCTCCAGCTTCCTGCTCATGCAGACCCTGGGAGGCAGTGGGACGGCTGTCGTGACCGGGTTCCTGCCACCCACATGGGAGATCAGGCTCCAGCCTTGGCTGTCGCAGACATTCAGGAAGTGAACCAGCAAACAGAAGCTTTCTCTGTGTCCCTCTACCTCTCAAATAGAATAATATTACAAAATAATAATATATATGCCGCTCTGCAATCAAACAATGAATGGGAAAGAATAAAGGCTAAAAACAGGCTCTGTTATTTTTGATTAGATTTTGCTTCCCAGTGAATTTTTGGACTAGCCCCATAAAAGAAATTTAAAGTTTTCGATGCTATTTGGATTTCAGAATCAAGGTTATGTAGATCTGTGTGTACGAATTTATAAAGCAAAAACAGTTCCACAAAGTTTTAACTTCACCAAGCACAGTCACTTTGGTTATTCTGTTTCCTGTACTTTTGAAAAGTCAGTCGTGGGGCTGGCGTTGTAGGGAGCAGGTAAAGCCACAGCCTGTGGTGCCGGCATCCCATATGGGCGCCAGTTCAAGTCCCGGCTGCTCCACTTCTGATCCAGCTCCCTGCTAAAGGCCTGGAAAAGCAGAGGAGGAGGTCCCAAGTGCCTGAGCCCCTGCACCCATGCAGGAGACCTGGATGGAGCTTCTGGCTCCTGGCTTCAGCCTGGCCCAGTGCTGGCCATTGAGGCCATTTGGAGAGTGAACCAGAGGATGGAAGATTTGTCTTTCTCTGCCTCCCCCCTCTCTGTAACTCTTCCTTTGTCATGACCAACTATGGATTGATTCCAGAACTCAGGTCACAGCCTGCAGTTGAGAACATTGGTGCGGGAGTCTGTGGTCTGCCCAGGACCTCACTGGCCAGTGCTGTTGAACTAGGCTTCCAGAAGCGCTGACCTGCTGTCACAGCAGTCCAGCAGCCATGTGAAGGGGGTGTGATGCTAGGCTCCGTTTCCTGGGACTTTTCTCATTTGATGTCGTGTTACCAGGGTTCACGTTGTGGCGTGTGGCTGTGATTCATCCCTCTGTCTCCCTCACCCGCTGATGGAGTCACACTCACACTGTGCTCGGCTCCTTGTGTTGCTTCCTGATTTTTGTTATGATGAACAGTGTTTCTGTGAACATTCCTTTTTTAAAAAAATCAATTTTTTAAAACATTTTTATTTTTTATTTTTATTTTTTTGACAGGCAGTTAGACAGTGAGAGAGAGAGACAGAGAGAAAGGTCTTCCTTTGCCGTTGGTTCACCCTCCAATGGCCGCTATGGCCAGCGCTGCACTGATCCGAAGCCAGGAGCCAGGTGCTTCCTCTTGTACTCCCATGTGGTGCAGGGCCCAAGCACCTGGGCCATCCTCCACTGCACTCCCTGGCCACAGCAGAGAGCTGGCCTGGAAGAGGGGCAACCGGGACAGAATCCAGCACCCCAACCAAGACTAGAACCCGGTGTGCCGGCGCCACAAGGCAGAGGATTAGCCAAGTGAGCCGTGGCGCCGGCCTGTTTTTATTTATTTTGACTTATTTGAAAGGCAGAGTTGAGAGAGCAGGAGTGAGGAGAGAGAGATCTTCCATCCACTGGTTCACTCCCCAAATGCCTTCAACAGCCAGGGCTGGCTCAGGCCAAAGTGGGGAGCCAAGAACTCAGCCTGGGTCTCCCCTGTGTGTGGCAGGGATCCAGGTCCTTGAGCCATCGCTGATGCCTGCCTCCAAGGGTGTGAACATTCTTTTTTTAGAGATTCCCCCTCCCTTTTTTTTTTTTTTTTAAAGATTTATTTTATTTATTTGAAAGGAAGAATTAGAGAGAGAGACGGAGAGACAGGGAGAGAGAAATCCTCCATCCACTGGTTCACTCCCAAAATGGCCTCAATGGCCAGGGCTGGGCCAGGCCAAAGCCAGGAGCCGGGAGTTTCATCCGGTAAAGCACATGGATGTAGGGTCCCAAGCACTTGGGCCATCCTCTGCTGCTTTCCCAGGCACATTAGCAGGGAGCTGGGTTGGAAGTGGAGCAGCCGGGACTCTAACTGGCGCCCACATGCATCGGCAGTGTTGCAGGCGGTGTTCTCACCCGCTGTACCACAACGCCGGCCCCAGGCGTTCTTATCTGTGCCTTTGCTGCATGTGTGCCCGTGCCTGTGGGGCAGTGTTTCTCTACTATTTTTCTTCTTTATTGGCTCACTAATAAGCCTTCCCAAGAATTTTTTTCCTCTGATCATTGTTTGCCTGATGAAATTTTAACACCATAGATATTCAGTATATCTCTTTATACATGAAATTGAAGAAAAGGAAGAATAAGGTGTTTTTTTTTTTTTTTTAAAGATCTATTTATTTACTTGAGATAGAGTTACAGAGAAAGAGATGGAGAGACAGAGAGAGGTCTTCCACCCACTGGTTCACTCCCCAAATGGCTGCAAGGCAAGAACTGCGCTGATCCGAAGCCAGGAGCCAGGAGCTTCCTCCATCCTCCCACGTGGGTGCAGGGGCCCGAGGACGTGGGCCACCTTCCGCTGCTTTCCCAGGCACAGCAGAGAGCTGGTTGGGAAGAGCTTATGGGACTCCAGTGCTGCAGGCAGATGCTTACCCTGCTAGCCGCGGTGCCGGCCTGGTTTTTTTTAGGATTTATTTATGGGGCCAGGCAAAGCGTTTGAGCCATCGCTTTCTGCCTTCCAGTGCATTAGCAGGAAGCTAGATGGGAACAGAGCTGCGACCTGAACCCAGACACTGCGCTGAAACGTGGGCTTGACAAATAGCGTCTTAGCCAGATGCTCACCCCAGTTTGATAAGTTACACCACAAGATTCACCCTTTAAACCATGTGAATGGAATTAAGTGCATTCACAGTGTAACGTCACCACTACCCATCGTCACAGCACACAAACTCTACCCCATCCCCGTGCTCCTGGTAAGCTGTGCTCTGCTCCGTCTCCGAGCTTACCTGCTGTAGCTCTCATGTGAGTGCCTGTGCCGTGCTGTAGCATGTGCCGGAGTGTGTTCTCCACGCTGGGGAGGGCTTCCTCGCGTGTACGCGCCGCCCTCTGCTGCTCCAGTCATCTGTGGGTAGACCTTGGGTCGTTCCCTCCCTGTGGCTCTTGTGGACACCTGCTTGAGTTCCTGCTTTTGAGTCTTCCATGTGTACACACTTAGAAGTGGAACTGCTGGGTCCTTTGAGACATTAATGTGTTGGGAGTTTTCATTTTTAACTTTTTGTTAGGTAGGGAGACAGCCGGGCAGTTCCCGTACAGTGGCCCACGCCGCACATGCCTGCAACACGAGGACTGGGCTAGGGCCCGGGTGAGAAGCTCCCTCTGGTCTCCTGTGGGTGGGTAGCAGGGACTTCAGCAGCTGGACCGTCATCCACTCTTCCCAGGTGTGTGTAGCAGGAAGCTGGATCAGAAGCACAGAGCAGCTGAGACTGGAACCAGGAACCCCCGCGTGGGATGCAGGTGTCCCAAGCTGCGGC